AGCTCCCAGGAACTGGCATACCAAGACGAAATAAAGTCTTGTACATATGGGATTTCATGCATCAAAGGAAGATGCATCACTGTTTATTTCTCTTCTTCAAGGAGAAGTTACCTATGTACTTGTCTATGTAGATGAAATTGTTGTTACTGGTCAATCAGCTTCTGCAATTGAACGAGTGGTTCATTCACTCCGAGATAATTTTTCATTGAAAGATCTTAGTGATTTATATTATTTTTTAAGAATTGAGGTTTAGCGCAGTGATGAAGTCTTAATCTTGTCCCATAAGAAGTTTATTTTATAACTGTTAGAGAATACTGGCATGTCAAATGATTCCCCTACTAGATGGTAGTTTCTAACAAACTTCAACGAGATACTGGAAAACTGCTTGAAGATCCTCGTGAATTTTGAAGCATGGTTGGAGCATTGTTGTATGTTTGTCACAAAAGACCAGACATTGTGTAAAGTGTAAGCAAGGTAGCTCAATTTATGCATGAGCCACGCGAGAATCACTTATTGGATGCCAAACGTATCTTGTGATATCTAGCTGGGACAGTGGAGTATGGATTAGCTTTTAAACCGTCTAAGGAAGTACTACGCATCGTAGCATTTGCTGATGCTGATTGGGGTGGTTGTGTGGATGATCAAAGATCAATGTCAGATCAATGTCAGGTCACTGTGTGCTAGTTGGTGATAATTTGGTGTCTTGGAGTACAAAGAAGCAGAAGATAGTGTCCATATCTATGATGGAAGCAAAATATCGCAGTCTAGCTGATGCTGCAGCAGAAGTTGATTGGATTGATGTCCTGCTGACTGATCTTGGAGTGGTGAGACAAGAACATCCTATCATATGGTGTGATAATACTAGTGCAATATCTTTAAGTGCAAATCATGTTCATCATGTTCAATCCAAACATGCAGATTTAGATGTTCATTTTATAAGGGAGAAAATTGCTAGGAATAAATTGTGTTAGCTATCCGCATGCTGCTCATCAACCTGCAGATGGGCTCACAAAGCCATTGTCCAAAGTAGCATTCAAATCATTTCGAGAGAAAGTGAATGTATATTTGCTGAAGTAAGGAGGAAAAGAAGAAACAGGAAGAATGTTGGAAATTGAATGTGTGCATGGCAAGCATGGTGCAGGTTCAAGCAGGCTTATGCTCTGCTCAATAGGGTGTGTTCTGTTATAGATGAGAAAAACCTAGGGTTGTTAGGTTGTTGGTCAGCACGTTTGTCACTGTTGGATCTAACAGTTTTTTACTTTCTTCTTTATTCAACAACTGTTTGATATATAAGCAATGTAACTTAGCAGGTTTAATATATGAAATGAAGATATAGTTGCTTTCTTATTTCTCAGTTTATTAATCGATAAACAACCATCATGAGCATCTAGTAGCTTTATCCTCGAATAATATACCAACAGGTTTGGATTAATAGCATAAATGGTTTGGATTAATTTTATGAAGTTGAAGTATTGTGGTTTTAGAATATTACGAATGATAATTAGAAGATTTTGACTAAGAAGGCAGCTAACTTCAACATTTAGCTTGATGATGTGTCTATTATAAGTCTGACTTTTGAGAAGGATTCCACTACTGCAATTGAGGCTAAAAAGGTGGCTGCACAAGAAGCTGGGAGAGCTAAATTCATCATGGAAAAAGTTGAACAATAAGAGAAAATTACTGCTATTCAAGCATAATGGAATATATAATATTTGTGCATGGTTTATATGAGTGATGATTGCGTGCATTGGTGGATTACTGTTGATGTGTGTAGTAGCTACTTGCATTCTGTTAGATGTGTTGGAATAAGGGTGGCGTGATTTCTTAGGCTAGTGTTTTTCTATATAAGCATTGTAGTATGTTGTGTAGTAGACTTCCGTTATTGGTGATGTTTAGGCTCGCTCTCTTTCTGTGAATATATGCACTATTGGTGTCGGGTGTTCGTATTCCCATGCTAGTGAAGGTTCGGGTGTGGTTTTGGTTGGTGAGGTTGGTCTTGGCAGTATTTATATGCGTAAGGCAGCTAGTTTACGGCCTCATTGGTGTGTTGACTCTAGTGTAACTCACCATATTACGGTTGATGCAACGGCTGTGGAAGACAGTGCCACCTTCTATAGCGCTGGTAAGATCATTGTCGATGGTGGTAAAGGATTGTTTATTGATCGTGTTGGTCACTCTCTCTTATCTACGTCTTCTCACACTTTATTTTTAAATGATTTTCTTCTTGTTCCGAATGTCACTAAAAACTTGCTTTTGGTTTCGAAGCTTGCTAGAGGTAATGAAGTGTTTTTGGAGTTTCATGCTCAAATGTGTGTTGTTCGTGATGAGCGTGCAAGGGAATTTCTACTTGAAGGACGTGAAAATTATGGCTTATACGAGTTTGACTCTTTTATAATTGATCTAGGAGGAGGTATGGTAGAAACCAACTTGGCATCTCTTCCTAGTGGGAATTATGACTTGTGGCATAAACATTTAGGGCATCCGACTAATGATGTGTTGGTGAAAGTGGGTCGTTCTTGTAATGTCATTTTTAAGGAGATTAATAGCAATGTTTGTGTTGCTTGTCAAATGGGAAAAAGTCATCAACTTCTATTTAATCAATCTCAAACAACATATGATTCACTGTTTGTATCATTGTTTATGGACTTTGGGGACCGCCTCATGTATCTTCTAATGGCTTTAAGTATTATATTTCGTTTACGGATGCTTACACTCGTCATGTGTAGGTTTACTTGTTACGGGCTAAGTCTCAATCCTTGGAAGCTTTTCTCTTATTTCAAAAGATGGTGTGTATGCAATTTTATGCTAGTATTAAATAAGTACAATGTGATTGGGTGGTGAGTTTCGAAGTTTGTCAACTATTCTTCAAAATGATATGATTATTCATCTGTTTAGTTATCCTCACACTTCGTAATAAAATGGTGTATTAGAACATAAACATTGACACATTGTTGATATGGCTTTTACTTTGTTAGCTCAAGATTCCTTACCGTTAAAATATTAGTCGTATGCGGTTGTTACGACTTTCCATTTAATTAATCGGTTACCTATCAAGGTGTTGGAAGACGTCTCTTCATTTGAAATCCTTTTTGGTAAAACTCTGTCGTATGATAATTTGCAGGTGTTTGAATGTCGGTGTTTCTTGTGTTTGCATCCGTTTCGGGAGCATAAATTTAGCTTTCGTTTGCAACTATATACATTCCTCGGGTATAGTGTTAATCACAAATTGTACTACTACTTGGCTCCGGATGGGCATTTTTATCTTTCGTGGCATGTGGTTTTCGATGAGATAGTGTTTCCTTTTGATTTTGTTTTACATATGAGTGTCTCCGATGGGGTTGTTTTTTCGTCCTTTTAGTGACATTTATGTGGTTCTTAGAGCTGTGGATGTGTTACGTGCTGGTGAGGCGTCTCATATCAAGAGAATCAACATGATTTGGATCATGATGATGCTACTCATGCTCCCATCTCTATTTTACCTTGTGATGTACGAGCTGTGCATGGTTCTACGTTAGACTATTCCCCACGTGATGCACCAATTATGCATGAGTCTATTTTACTTTCACATATGAGTGTTGAGCACTATAGACTTGGGAATGTCCTATTGATTTTCCTGTTGGGCAAATGGTTTCTAAGGTTGTGCCTGCTGGTCCAAGTAATGATGTGTTGTGTGAAGAAGAAACCTCACGTTAGGTGTTAGCGATGGTGTTAGGGTGGATGACCATGGTGGTGTATTGTCATCTCGAGTGTATGATTAGATGGATAATTACCCTCAAGTGTCAAATCAACATCCTATGGTTACTAGGAGCAAGCTTGGTATTTTTAAATCAAAGCTTATTCATGTTGTGCAAAATAGCTCTGATGAATTTGAGCTAGTGACGGTTCGGCAAGCTTTTTCTTTTCCTCACTGGAAGCAAGTTATGATGATTGAATATGATGCTCTTGTTTATAATGAAACTTAGAAGTTGGTTCCATTTCTTAAAGATCAAACCCTCATTGATTGTAAGTAGTTGTTTCGAATTAAGTGAAACCTGAATGGTTCGATTACTCGGTATAAAGTTAGACTCGTTGCGAAGGGTTACTCACTTTTCGAGTTTTGACTTGTATAACACATTTAGTCTGGTTGTCAAATCATCGACTTTTAATGTGATTTTATCACTAGCAGTTCAACATGGTTGGTACTTTGACGAGTTGGTGGTTGGTTTTGATGAGTTGATGTGAATAACGTTTTCCTTAATAGTGACTTAGTTGAGGAGGTGTTCATGGTTCAACCGCAAGGGTTTGAGGAGACGTCTTCTAGTTGTGTTCCCCTTGTGTGAAAATTAGAGAAGGCCTTGTATGGGTTGAAGTAAGCTCCACGGAATTGGTATACTAAACTTCGTTTTTCTTACTAAGTATTGGTTTTAGAAGTGCTAAAGCTGATTTGTCATTGTTTATTCGGCTAAATGTTGGTTGATGTGTTTATGTCTTAGTTTATGTTGATGACATCGTCATTACTGGTGATTCTAATAATGTGATTAATGATGTTGTTCAATATCTTAGTTGTGAATTTTATTTGAAGGATCTTAGTGATCTTAGTTATTTTTTTGGTCTTGAGGTTGACAGTCGTGATGGTATGCTATTTTTGAGTCAATATAAATACATTTGTGAACTTATTGAATGTGTGAATATGGTGGGTGCTAGGTCTACTCCTACTCCTATGGCTTCTTTTCCCAAACTTGTGAAATATGTAGGCCATCCTCTTATTGATCCTAAAGCTTATAGGAGTATAGTTAGTTCATTGTTGTATTTGAGTCATACTAGGCCCGATGTTGTATATAGTGTAACACCCATAACTCGACCCGAAAACCAAATCCGAGTAGACGATATCACATTGACCACCGAAGTGATCCTACAAGTCCGACTCATAAATTTACAATTTACCTAAAGAGTTCAAACCAATAATATCATTATTGGTAAAAAAATAAATAAAGATTTAGAAAAGGGTGGAGCTCCTTTATTTGAAAACAAAATATGTAATGAACAATTTACAACCAACTCGAATAAATTTATAATCCCTACATGACCACTCAAAGTCCTCATCATTGTACTCTGGTACTCCCACTAAGACTCTCATAACATCATGGTCCCATTGTGACCCCCGAAACCTAAACCTGTAAAAGGAATAATTAAAAGAGTAAGCTACTAAGCCCATTGAGTACACATCGACCCTACTATATTTCATGAGTCTCATAAATTCAACATACTAGCCATTTATGATATTAAGCCATTATTCAATGATTCTCATATTCATATCATTATCAGTCAGGTTTATTATACCTACCCAAAGTCTAGAGGATACCATGTCTTTTCTCGTTAGACTACCTTACACATTCTATCATATTCATGATCTTAATAACTCTAAGTTCATTATGTAATAGACAATGTAATTATCCGATCTAGGATATTTTTCTGATTCATTAAAGTGCTCTCCACCATAATATTCTCATCATTAATGGTTTATTCGACAATTGCCTTATCCAAATTAACATATTTAATCCTTTCGTCGACATGGGTAAAAGATCATGCATATAATAAATCATCAGTAACCAACACATGTATATCATGCTCATAATAATCAGTAGCAAGCACATGTATATCATGCTTATAATAATAAGTAACCAACACATGTATATCATGGATAGAAACATCAATATTTGTGTATCGTCATGAAATATTATAAGGACGCTCGAAGTAAACTCTAATAAGGGTTTATCTAGATGACGTAGGATAAAGTTTTATACCGACGCAAAATCTCTAATTATCACAGAGTTGCTCCGCTAAGGTGAACGATCTTGAGAGAAAAAGATGCAGCTGCTCGACCATAGGCATGTCATTGTACCAACGACCTCTAACTAGTTTACTTGGGCAAAAACAGTATCAAGATGCATGCAATGAACTTACCATGGTATAATCACCCATCAATAGAATTAAACAGGATCACTTACCTCAAGCCTTCCTAACATCGTGCATTAAGTCATGCAACCTAACAATCATTTGTGCATCATAGAAATACACATTTAATTAATTATAAAGTTCATCACACATTTATTAGCTCATTAAACCACTATGTTATGATCATTTAAGTACTCAAGGGCAATTTGGTCATTTTCACCTTCAACGATTTTATACAACTATTCCATGTAATTTACGACTTAAATCCTTTTGTTCTTTGATCATATCGTTAATCCTTTTATTCTTTGATTATTTTAAGTGTATTTTAATCTTTTAACACAGAGGGTTCCCCAATCACTTTTATTCTTAAACGAGCGTTCTTACTCATTTATCTCGTGTTATTCTAGACATGCAAATAATTAAGAAATACCCCAAATTTACATAGCAAAAGTCATAACACATATTTCCAACTTCAAAACAGGTTTACAGTCTAAAATCAAGTTTCCAACTTAAAAATTCAGTTTACAACCTAAAAATCCAATTATAACCTAAAAACATGCTACAACATAAAATCTAATTATAACCTAAAAACAAGTTACAACCTAAAGTCCAGTTATAACCTAACAACAGGTTACAACCTAAAATCCAATTATAACCTAAAAATAGGTTACAACCTAAAATCTCATTATAACCTAAAAATAGGTTACAACCTAAAATCTCATTATAACCTAAAAATAGGTTACAACTTGAATCTCATTATAACCTATAAATAGGTTACAACCTAAAATCACATTATAACCTAAAAACAGGTTACCAACTTAAAATTTTAGGTTTCCAACACTTCAATCAAATTCTGAACTCATCATATAACCTGGTAAACTAAGTTTGCTCATATTAGTTCTACCAAATAAATTTATCGCTTAAATGAGGCTCTTAAGAGGTACTACTCGTGCCTTTGAATTGAGTGTTCACACACGACAAGCAACGCATCAAAATTACATTAATCATGAAATAATTCAGAGTCTGAGGGGTACTCACCTTAATTTCCTAAATTCGAGCTTGAGTCCGATCCTTTGACCATTTTCCATGAATATGTGCGATCTAGAAATTGAACATGGCATCAATTAATTACTCTGAACAATAAGGTAATTTATTAACATCCAATTAATAACTTATTAAGACTAAACTGCTCATACAAAACTATTAGGGCTCAATTCAACACCTTTTAAAGCCATGAAATAAGAAAGAACCCCCAACAAGATTAATTACTAAAACCCCAACAAAATGTCATGCTTAATAGGGTCATAACACCACTAAGGATTATAACACCCTGCCTTGTTGCTAAAATCCCGAGATGGAGTTTGTTCATGCCTCTAACACTCAGCTTCACATTCCTTCTTATACTCATCTTTAAAGATATAAAAATTTTAGTCTCTCACAAACTGTCCTCAAATCTAACTAGAAATTGAGGAAATGAAGAAAAGAGGGAGATTTTACCTTGCCTTTCTATTACCCGTTGGCTTAAAGGAGAAGAACATGAATAATTCTTTGCATCTTTTCTCCAACTCTTTATTTACAAACAACTTATTTCATATTAAATAACAACCACACATTTCATTCAGATCCAAGGGTCTAAATTGAATATGGAAAACCCATTTAATCTAATGGCCCATGTCCACCCAAGCAAAATATATTATAACTTTTATGGATAATAATTCATTAAAGAGTCAAACTCTTCCCTTGATTTAACCTTAGAGATGTGTAATTCTTTTATTTTAATTTAGTCACTAATCTCCCCCAAATTTAATCCCACAACACATAGAAATTGTATAACTTGTCCTTGAAATAATTTTATTTACAAGTTTAATCCTTAATGAAACTTTGGGGCGTTACATATAGTGTTGGCAGGGTTGCTTAGTATATGCATCAACCGTATGAGTTGCATTGGGTAGTGGTTAAACAGATTCTTCACTATCTAAGTGGTACTATAGATTATGGTCTTCTTTTTCAAGCATCTAGTGCTCCTTTGAGTCTGCGTGCCTTTTCTGATGTTGATTAGGTCAGTAATTTCGATGATCAAAGGTCAATCTTTAGGTATTGTGTTTTTTTTGGTGATAATCTTGTGTCGTGGAGTTTGAGAAAACAAAAGTCATTTGCTCAAGTCGAGAATCGCGGCATTGTCGATGTCGTGCCAGATGTAGTTTGGTTATGTACTCTTCTTGACGATATAAGAGTGAGTGGTAAGGATGTCCTTGTCGTTTGGAGTGACAATAAAAGTGTTGTTGCTATGAGTGTCAATCCCGTCTTCCATGCTCGTTCTAAACATGTGAAATTAGATGTTCACTTTGTGCATGTAAAAGTTGGTACTTGTGCACTTTGTGTGAGCTATGTTCCTGGTCATCATCAGCTTGTTGATGGTTTTACTAAGTCTCTTACAAAATCTTTCAATCTTTCGACAAAAGCTTAATGTCATTAGCTGCTTTGGTCTTAAAGACTGATGAAGTAGTGTAAATATTAGCTTATATGATATTTGTGCATGGTTTGCATGAGTGATGATTGCGTGTGTTGGTGGATTACTGCTAATGTGTGCAATAGCTGCTTGCATTATGTTAGGTGGTTTTAACAACTAAAATAAGGGTGGCGTGATTTCTTAGGTTAGTGCCTTTCTAGTCTATAATGAATAATAGAGCCTTTTGTTAAATAAAGAAATCTCTTAAAAAAATTTGATAAACTGATAAAGCACATGTGAGATAAACAAAGGACCAAAAAAAGAAGTGTCATAATAAAATTTGATGAAAATATAGAACTGCTGCTCGATGGGGAGTATTGAGCACATCTAGTAGAAATGATAGATCCTTTACCTCTCGTAAAGTAATTGATTTTTGGGTCTACAGGGATAAGCCAAGAGTGCCTAACATCACCGGCATCTCTCATGTTCTGCCCAATCCTTTCATAGAACTGCTGCTCGATGGGGAGTATTGACCACATCTAGTAGAAATGATAGATCCTTTACCTCTCGTAAAGTAATTGATTTTTGGGTCTACAGGGATAAGCCAAGTGCCTAACATCACCGGCATCTCTCATTTCTGCCCAATCCTTTCATAGAACTGCTGCTCGATGGGGAGTATTGACCACATCTAGTAGAAATGATAGATCCTTTACCTCTCGTAAAGTAATTGATTTTTGGGTCTACAGGGATAAGCCAACAGTGCCTAACATCACCGGCATCTCTCATGTTCTGCCCAATCCTTTCATGCCCATGGCTTTTTGGGATGGTTCTAACAACCGCTTACAACTTGCCTCAACAGCTGTTGAGCAAGACCCTCTTTCCACATTCCTCGTGTGCCAATCACAGTTAACGCATTTTGCCTCTATGGTAATAGATTCAATGACTTTTTACTTGTTATAATGATAATTTTACTTGCTATAATGATATGAGGATTGTTTATTGCAGCCGATAACCATGGATGCTTACACCCGGCCGTGTATCAGTCATGAGGATTGTTTATCAATTCCTCAAAAGATGTGGCTTTGATATTCCATTTCTTGTTGTCATAGTGCTCTCATGTTTCTTCCATTGATTGTTGATTGGTTCAATCAGTTTCATAAAAAAAACTTTGCTTCTTGAAGATGATGGTGGTGAATAGGGCTGTAAAATGAGACGAGATAATTCGTGAGCTACTCGAAATCGACTCAGTCAAAGTTCGATTAACACTCGAATCGAATGAACTCGACTCGAGCTCGAACTCGACTCGAGCTCAAACTCAACTCGAATTCTTAACGAGCTACTTAATACTCGACTCGAAAAGTTCATGAGCTACTCGGAAAAAAATTATATTATAATTTTAGATTTTTTAAAATTACATTATTAAAAATATATTAAAATACATTATTGATAATTATAAATTTTTAAAAATATATTAAAAATTCTATAACACAACTACCCTCAATTTTTAATTTTTTTAAATTAACCCTCCCAAGTTCAATTGTTGCATTGTATATTACTAATAGAAAAATAAAAGCTCATTTAATTAACACATGTTATATTACACGTGTTTGGTAGATTTTTTTTCTTTCTTTTTCAACTTTTTTCGAGCTTGAATCGAGCTCCTGAGGTTTTTTTGAGTTCAAGCCTTTTCGAGTTTGAGTCGAGTTTCAATATTATATTTCGAGTTCGAGCTGAGTTTTTCAATTTTTAACTCGTGAGTTTTCGAGTCGAGTCGAGCCTAATTTTAAACTTTTTGAGTTCGAGTCGAGCTCAATAATACACAAATTCAACTCGGCTCGTTTACAGTCCTACTGATGAATTTGTAATAAAATTCAAAGATAAAAAAAGGAAGCAACTAAGGGTTTGGGTTATAAAAAGAAAGTGAAAGGAGCAAAGAAAAGGTAAAAAGGTTATTTGATCATTTGTATGTGTACATAGGAGTCTTTCACTCAAAGAGCATTTGCAAAGGTTAAGGCAATTAATATAATATGTCACATTAATATTTTGTAACTTTAATAATAATTATTAACCGTGAGTGATTATTTTATTATAAACCGATAACATTAATAATTAATAATTATTTTTGAACTATTAATAAAAAATAAAAATTTATTCAAATATTAATGATCATTTATATAATTTACGTTAAATTTTATATATATCTCATGCATAAAATTTATACTCATCTCCACTTAAAAGAGGGTGGAGTTGAGAAGATCTCCATGAAGCCTATCCAGTAACCAACATCGATAAGGAAGTGACTCGCAATAAAACAAGAAGAAAAATAAATATTAAACATCTACTAGACTAGCAATGGTAATAAATTAATGATAAAAAGTATATAAATTGAGTTAACTTACTCTAGAATTTATTCATTTATTTAGCTACATTTGGTGGGAAGTTATCAATTTAAATTAAAAGAAACAAACAAACTGTGGAGCCCACAGTACTAGATTCACCAATCACCAAATGCTACGTCGTGAGACAAGATAAGACCTCAAATTCAAAAAACATAAGATCGCGGACAGATGTTCTATGAGACAGTGCCTACCACTCTCCCTAGGACCTAGGAGCTCCTGTACTAACCTCTCTTCTTTTTACTTTTTCTCAAAATATTCACTATTTACTTTAACGAAAAATTTAAAATTAAAATTTAATAATTCATATGTGAAATACATTCCTCAAGTTGGATAAATTCATAAAAAAATTTATATTTTTATTAAATATTTAAGTATTATTACAATTAGTTATTAAATTAGAAATTTCCTTACTAATTAATTTAAATATTTAATGATGTCAATTCATATATTTTAATAATATTCAGAGAAATTCATATATTTCTATTCACGACAACAATAATTATAATTTTATTCATCTTAAATCAGCCCTAAAGGAATATTTAATTACAAGTAGTTCAAATATCGAAATTATAGATATTTCCTATATAAAAATCAGTTCAATGATAGAAAATAAAATATAAATTTCCTCTCTTATCAGCTTTTTTTTTATTAGCCAAAAATCTGGTCCGCTTATTTCATCACCTTGTTCATCTCCTTCGTCATCTTCTACATAACAAAAGTAACCCAATTTAAACTCAGAATTTCTTGATCTTTTTTTTCATTTAACCTCAATATCGATTGAGTCAAACAAAGGGAGAATGAACAGGGAAGATATAGCTAAACATCGGCAGTTCCTCGCCGATAGGAGATGTGTTTTCCCTCTCGTTGTTTCCGGCCTAATCGCCGGAGCCATACTAACCTCGAGTTTCATAAAAGCCGCCGACTACTCGCTTCTATGCTCCGTTGCCAATACCAGATCATCAGAAGCCGTTGCTGGTGTCTCCGTCTCCAATACCGGATCATCATCTCAAGCCGTTGCTGAAGCCTCCGTCGCCAACAGAGGATCATCTTCTCAAGCCGTAGCTGAAAACTCTGTCACGCCGATCCAACTCCAAGCCATCATCCACTACGCCACGTCACGCATCGTACCGCAACAAAGCTTCAAGGAGATCTCCGTTACATTTGACGTCCTCAAGAAACGTTCACCTTGTAATTTCCTCGTCTTCGGACTGGGCTACGATTCCTTGATGTGGACTTCACTCAATCCGAAGGGGCACACCATATTCCTGGAAGAGGATCCGAAATGGGTCCAGTCGGTGCTCAAAGATGCGCCCAGCCTCCACGCGCACCCCGTTAAGTACCTTACGCAGCTCAAGGAAGCCGACGCTTTGCTCTCCCATTACCGCTCCGAGAAGAATTGTTTCCCATCGAAAGCTTATTTACACGGAAACAACAAGTGCAAGCTTGCCTTGACGGGGTTTCCCGATGAGTTTTACGATACAGAGTGGGATTTAATAATGATCGATGCGCCGCGTGGGTATTTCCCGGCGGCGCCCGGTAGGATGGCGGCGATATTCTCGGCTGCCGTCATGGCGAGGAACCGGAAAGGGACGGGCGTGACGCACGTGTTCTTGCACGACGTTGATCGGAAGGTGGAGAAGACTTTCGCCGAGGAGTTTTTGTGTAGGAAATACTTGGTCAAGGCCGTCGGTAGACTTTGGCATTTCGAGATACCGTCGGCCTCTAACATGAGCAGCTACGGCGGCGCTCGGTTTTGCTAAAATGCGCCCCTTTCTGCCATTGTTCATGTGTGCCGGAATTCAATCATAAATGATATACTTTAAGATAATGGTAATATTTATTTGTACTGAATTAAAATTTTCCTTTGATGTTATATAAATAAAATTAAAATCATGTTTTAATTATTATTTTTATGGGTAAACTAACTATTTTGTAATTCACTTATTATTTAATTTCTATTTTATTCATCTAATTATTTTTTAAAAATTATTATTATTTAAATATTTTATTATTTCCCGACAGTTTGAATTTGTTATCTTTTCTTAAACATTTTTTATGGATTTAATTTTGTATTATAGTAATAATGACCTATGATATTCCTTCCGATGATTTCAGAATTGCTGGAGTAGAATTAGTACGCCGGTTAAAATATTTTTTATTTTTTATAAATATAATTGTTTTTAATTGAGGGTTTGATAAATTTCTCTTTATTAATTTTAAAAAAATATATTTTTTTTTATATTAATTAATAATTAAAAATTTAATTGAGAGAGACCAAAACTCTTCGCCTTCTCTCTGATTCCAGCCATGACTCCTCTCTGGTTCCGCCCATGGCTGGAGCTTTGTCTAATTATATTAGTGCCCCAATTGATATAACAAGTAACATCAATTTCAGTTTTTAGATGATTATTGTAGACACCGTTTTCATTCGGTTTATTATTATTATTATTATTATTATTATTATTATTATTGTTGTTGTTGTTGTTGTTGTTTTTATTATTATTAGGGTAAAATATATAAATAGTCACCAGATTTTTAGGGTGTTTTTATTTTAGTCACCCAATTTTTGAAATTTATAATACAATCATTGAACTTTTAGTTCGTTAGAAGCACGGGGATGGTCACTATACTGCCTCTGTGCATTGATGGTGGTAAAAAGATGGAGACAAATTGTGATGAAGGACAAAATATTGAGTCTAATGCAGACACCGATCACGGGACTGAGCTAGGTAACACTCAACATGGTCATCCTAAAAGCAAATTGATGCATCAAGAAAATTCCACCAACGATGAGTTTGATGACGAGGCTTTTTGGAGAGAAAGGCCAGTTGGTCTCCTGAGTGCAAGCTTATCATGATCAACATTTTAAGTAGTTTTCTGAAGTTGTATGAAATATTTATGGAGCACATATATATGTTTTTGGCTGGCTACTTGAAATTATAAAGCTTGATAACCATTTTCACCACTTTGATTTGTTATATTATTATGAACATTTGTAATTATGAATTTTGTTGACACTTGATTTTAATCTATCACAAAGCATGCAATTCACCCTGTTACTAGGATGATGAAGGATTCTCTTGTGCTTCATGCTTTTTTTAAGTGCAACTTCAAATAGAAGATATCAACATATTTGCATATTTTGTTGTGTGGTAGTGGCCAAACTGTTGGTCTTTGAAATTTTTGCAGGTTGAAGTCCAGAGAGGGTAGAAAGGATCCCATTCAAGGTTGAAAGGTTACATGTTTAGTGATTCATAGCAAAAAAAATGTAGTTTAGAAAGTTATCTTCAGAGATGTGATTAAAATACAGGTGGATAAGTGTATTTGTTCTCTTAAATATGTTCTCTAAGCTGATAAAACATGCTAATTTGGTTTTTTGTAATATGACGAGAATTCGATGATTTTTGCATGCTCGTGCTTCGTAATGCCGAAACGATTCCTCCATGGAAACACCTCCCATGCTCGGTGTTGGTCTGAGGGGAAATAGGGATAGTGACCACCTCCCATGCTTCCATGGTTGACGTGAATTTTTTTAAAAGTTGTTTACGAGTAAGGGTGTTAATGAGAACGAGTTGTGGGGTTTTTTAAAGGGTAAGGGTGTTAATGAGGATGAGTTGTGAAAAAGAAGAAAAAGAAGGGTTAACTTCCACGTCATCAAAAAAGGTTAACAGAGTGTTAATTGCCATGTCAGCAAAAAATGTTAACTGCCATGTCAACAAAAACTAATGGGATGTAACGATAAGGACCTTAATGAAAATGAACTAAAAGTTTAATGATTGTATTGCAAGTTTCAAAAGTTGGTTGATTATTTATATATTTTACCATTATTATTATTATTATTATTATAAAGTATTCATTATTATTAATATTATTTTTATTATTAATTCATATTATTAATGTTATTATTTATTATTTAATAACTATTTTTATTATTAAATATTAAAATATAAATATAATAAAATACTATTTTTTTATTAATGATCATTATAGCCCAAACTAAATACAACCATGTCAATATGGGAGCCCAACAGAAGTAACCCAAGTGAATTAGGGTTTTATCATTAACTCTCCAGCCATTAAGTCACAACTGTTGGATCAGATCTGATCTAACGATCCAGATCAGTTGTAACATGAAGGTTTCATCATAAACCCTAAATGATATCTTAGTCCATCGTCAACTCTTTGGCTCTTCATACATCAAGTTATTGCCAAGCTCGTAACTGTCGATACCTATAATCGTCATCGATGAGTTTGAATGATATAATCAAATCAAAAGAAAATCAAGGAATTAAAAGACCTCATTTAATGCCCTGAACCATCCTTGTTAGAGGCAATCTCATCACCTATCATAGCTCCACTGATTTGTCAGCACAGTCCTTTGGCATGCATCATCGGCAAGAACCTATAAAAAAAATGAGGGCTTTAAAAGGAGGATGAGAGATTGTAAAAAATAAAGAAAGAAAAAAGAAATATCAGAGGGAAAAAATAAGAAATGAAAAAGAGAGAAAACGAGAAAAGAGAGGGCCTTATCATAGTTTCTTAAGGATCGTAACTTCTTTTTTGAAAGAAATCAAAAAAGAGAAAGGTACCATCTTTTTCTTTTTCTCTTTTAAAATTTTCTTGTAGATCTATTGCGATTGATGTGTTTTTTACATAGTTAGTTGAAATTTTTGAATAAAATAAAAAAATGATGACTTTTTGCTTTGAACCATCGCTCGTAACGACGGTTGGCGTCGATCAGTGGCATTCGACGTAGTGATCGTTTATTAAAAATTAATTTTTTCTTCAAATTGGATAAACATGAAGAACAATCGAGAGAACTTTGGGATTTGGGTTTTAATCTAAAAAAAATTTAGAATGAAAAATGAAATGTCACTATAGCAAAACTGTACATTTGTGGCGTTTTTTTACTTATAGCAGCATTTTTAAACGCCATAAAAACGTTTGCGGCGCTATAAAAAACGCCGCAAGAAGCGACGGGAAAACTAGTGCCGCTAAAGTTCGCGGTGTTTGTCAATAAAAAACGCCGCCATAGGTGAAGAGATATAACGGCGTTTCTTTAATAAACGCCACAATAGGTGTTGCGATTTAGCGGCGTTTCCGACAAATGCCGCAAAAAGTGTAAATATTTAACGACATTTTTGGATACAAATGCCACAAAATGTCTACATCTATAGTGACGTTTTCAGAAACGCATCAAATGGTTAAGATATTTAGTGGTATTTTTCGGATACAAACGCCGCAAAAGGTCTGTTATATAGCAGCGTTTTTTAGATACAAAACACCGCAAAAAGTCTGTTATATAGCGGCATTTTTCTGATACAAACGTCGTAAAAGGTTTGATATATAGCGGCATTTTCCATACAAACACCACAAAATGTCTGGTATATAGTGGCGTTTTTCAGATACAAATGCCGCAAAAGATCTGGTATATAGCAACATTTTTTGTTACAAACACCGCAAAAAATCAAAATTTGTTGTGGAATTTTTATGTAAAACGCCGATATTGTTTTGATATTTAGCAGCATTTTTTTTACAAACGCTGCTAACGAACACATAATTGAAACAATTTAAATATTTTCTTCGATTACCCCAAATCTATTTTTTTAACATGTTCTATTATCCAACAAACATGATATCAATAACGCCAAACTCTATATCCATAATAACCACCATCAAATCCATTATAATAAATAAAAGTTTACATTAACGTAATATCAATTTAGTTAAACATTATGAGATTGTGTTTTCTGTAACATCTGCATCATAGCATCGAGTCATTTTTCAAATTCTTGACATTTCTGTTGATATGCTACTTCTCTCTGTGCTACCGTTGCTTCCCTCGCTTCATTTTCGGCTTTCATGTTAGCCATTTGTTGATCCATTTCAGCCAACTTTTGTTTTAAACGACTAACTTCTAATTGGGAAGACTGAGACTGTGATGACATGTACAGAGATGAACTGGATCCAAAATATTTGGTGGGAGTAACGAATGATCCTTGACAGCGCACCCGACCATATCTTTCAGGACCCAAAATATCATTAATAGCTTGATTTTCAATGTCATCCTCATTAACAAGACATTGACTCGAAGTCGTAGCTTGATACTCCGCCCTTTTCTCCCTCAATTTTTCCTAATAATAAAGTAAATAATTAATTCAAATAAAAATGTCATGCTACAGATATAAATAAAACATAATTCAAAACCTCTATCCAATAAACGTACCATAATTTCTACAGCTTCAACAATTATAAGAGTTTCATCATTCTTTGTATATGTCATGTCGAAGTTTTTGATTCGGCCAACGTTAGAACCATATGTATTTTCCTACAATGTACCATAATATAATTAGTTTGAGTTAGTATGTACATGGAATACAAATAACTATGTGAATAATCTATAATACATTCTCATTAGCTATAGAAGCAAAGCTCTTCGATCCAGCCGTGTGCGTACACTTTTGTTGTTGCCTGTTAGCAACACCAACATGCTATCGGTCCTACAATTTCAAACAACCACTTTTAATGATGATTTATAATTCGTTAAAATTATTTTTGAAAAATATATCATACTTGTCCTTTTTGTGAACTCCAAAATCTGATTGCATCTTCCCATTGGTACCTGAGCTTTCCAGGTGGGACAATTTGTAGTTTCTCTTAAAGGCTGAGATCATTCTTGAAGTATTTTTTTTAATGAGTTCTTGTGGTCTCTCCATCTCTTCCCTAACGCTTGCTTCACATGATCGTCAGAGACCTCTAAAGAAAATTTCTCCTATACAGCAAATAAGTGTTCAACGTAAGTGTAAATTAGTATTGAATTGTTATAG